CTTACACGGTGGTTACAAGGAACATATAAAAGGACGTTAGTTTTAGTGCGGCTTTTTGGTGCCCAGACTCATCTGCATCCAATCAGAAAAAAAGAATCAAAATAAATACTAGAAAAAAAAATCAAAAAATTCTAATTTTTTGTGTGGTAGATAATTTGATACTGAGGTTCGTTTCGATTTTTAGATCATGGACATCTGAGCAGCTCTCAACAAAAAAGATAAATCGGATCAGAACGGTGTGTGAATAGTAAATATTTTTACAGACCCTGAATTTGTCTGTTTTCCGAGAGCTGCTTACCCAAATTGTTTGAAAACTGGAGCGAACCTCACGCATCAAATTATCTACTAGACAATTTTTTGGGGGATTTTTTTGGGTTTTTCTATTATTTGTTTTGATTTTTTTCACCAGGGCGGGTGTAGTTGAGCCTCGGCTCAGAAGAGGATTGCCGTGTAAGTTTCTGCCATTGGGTGTTAATGCGTAGTCATAGTCCTATACCCACACACTATCATGGCATACTACAATGCATATTGAAACTATGGGTATCATGATCAAAGTGTTACTTGCCCTGTATTGTCGAAGTTCTTCACTCTCACAATCTTGGTAATGCTATACTTCGCTCTGTGACCAATCTATCATAACAAAAGAGTTCACAAAACAAACATACCATACAATGAATCAAACAACAAACAATAAGACTAAGTTGGGTGTATGGTTCAAGTATAAATGAATCATTCTCATTTGGTCTATGTGGTATGATTTAAGTTTTCAACTGAAGTTCAATTCAAATTTAGTTTCATATTTAAATTCAAATTGGATTAAAAATAATTTAAAGTTTAGTTTATCTGGATTCCAACATTTGAATTCATATTCAACGTTTAAGTTGAAAATAAAAAAGAATTGAAGTTATTGTTCAATCTAGATTTGAATTCAATTTGAATTTAAAAACTCAGGTTTGGGTTCAAAATGAGTTCGGATTGGTTAAATTTGACTTTTGAATCTGTCACAAACAGATTCATTGATTTGTATTTGTGGTTTGGATTCTATGTAGAGTCAAACTTGGGTCAAACTAGCTCTAAAGTGTGTTTTCAACTTTTGGAACACAAAGCAAAAAATAAGTATTAATTTTGGAACCCTTGATCAAAAGTTATGATTAATTCAAATGCCAATTTGAATTGGATTCCAACCCCATGTCATGGCATCAAAACTGGGTGCCATGGCAGCATTTCTGAAAAACTCTGCCATGGCATAAAAAGTTATTGCCGTGACAGCAGTTTTTGCTCCTTATTAAACTTCGTCTGAATTCAGCTCTTTTTTTTTTGCAAATTTGTAATCCACTCCAATCTTCATTGTTGGCACCCGCACATTACTTTTTTGCAAATTTGTGTTCTAGTGGTTCAAATTATAATCCCCTGTTCCCCTCCCACCTTCATTGTTGGCACCCACACATCAACGACGACGATTAACCTTGCTTACATAGGTTTAACCACATAAAGTACCGTTAATCTCTACTCCTAATGGAGCAGTTGGTAGTCTCGCTTCCAGGTTTTTTTTCGTCCCACCACTTTCGTCCGGTTTTTTTTCGTAGGTTAACCGTCGTAGATTTTTTTCGTCGCTTCCCCCACTTCATCGGTTTATTTTCACTTCACCCTCTCACACAACGTAAAAAATTGAACGGATCAGAACTTTCCATACTAACGCAAATTATTTAGTAATGTCTTTATGTAAAAGAATCAATCACAATCAATCATAATTAATCTTCATAACGTTTGTTTCCTTCCGAATCACGTCCATAACTTTCCTTCCTTGTTTGGGCAGAAACTGTTTGGTAGCAGAGATTAGGAAGCTTCCTATGAGTGTAGTAATACGAAGTATTCTTTTTCTTGATGATTCGTTTCCATGCATGATGATAGTAAATTAGGCCAACATTCACCACTATTTTTCAACGTCATCAATCGTATCCATTCCTAACAGTTGGTAGTCTCGCTTCCAGATTTTTTTTGTCCCACCACTTTCATCCGGGTTTTTTCGTAGGTTAACCGTCGTAGATTTTTTTCGTCGCCTCCCCCACTTCATCGGTTTATTTTCACTTCACCCTCTCACACAACGAAAAAAACTGAACGGATCAGAACTTTCTATACGGACGCAAATTATTTAGTAATGTCTTTATGTAAAAGAATCAATCACAATCAATCACAATTAATCTTCATAACGTTTGTTTCCTTCCGAAGCACGTCCATAACTTTCCTTCCTTGTTTGGGCAGACACTGTTTGGTAGCAGAGATTAGGAAGCTTCCTATGAGTGTAGTAATAGGAAGTATTCTTTTTCTTGATGATTTGTTTCCATGCATGATGATAGTAAATTAGGCCAACATTCACCACTGTTTATCAACGTCATCAATCGTATCCATTCCTACCAGTTTTAAGGGAATCTGCTCGCTATGTCTTTTTTAAGGGGATCCGCTCGCTAAGTCGTCGTCGCATGTTATTTTCACAAGCAATTCCCCTAAAAAAGGCGTGGGTATTGGTAGTTGAACGCCCGCTAGGTTTTCCGCATGTCCCATCCTCGCGCTGTGCCGCCGCCACCCGCCGAATTTCCAGCCGCCCAAGCCCGTTAACTTCACCAGCCATCGGGTCGACTGCCCCCGCCCCAAACCCCCATCCCCGAGCACTAGCTATCGCCGTGTTGCCGCCCCAAGCTCCACGCCACCGGAAACGAATCAAGCGCCGTCCTGACACCGCCGTCGCCGGCCCAGCACCTCCAGCCTTGCATGGACAGCTTCAATGTGCAGTCTCTCTTGCTGTCTCACCTTCTGCCAGCGCATGCAGCGGCGGGGTTGGACGCGTGCGTGCTTGCTAGCTTGCTCTCCGTGCGTACGTACTTGCTCTGCGTGCGTCGCACCCGCCAATGCGCATGATGCGTGTGTGCCTGCTTTTCTGTATGTGTATGCCAGCGTGATGCGTGTGTGCGTTGCTGTGTGTGTATGATATAGATGGCCCGAGTGTGTGCATGCTGTGCTCTGCTCTCTGCTGATCTATGTGTTGGTGCTCCTGCTATATGTTCATGCCATACAAATGAAATTTCTGTTAATCTTCTGCATGTTGAGTTGGTTCTCTCTGTCTTCTGAGGGGGTGAATGCAAAGCAGTCTATTAAGCCAGGCACTATTGCTGAGCTAAATTGAGAAAAAAATATTGGTAGCCATAGTTGTAGTTTAAGTAGTAGCGAGTTGTCTGATATGTATAAAGAGCCCGTTGCAACTGAGCCCGTTGCTAAATTGACAAAAAAAGTCGCCAGTGTCATTTGATATGTATAAGAATATTAAATGTATTATTAACATGATTAATATTGAACTCTTAAAGTTAATGTGGCCCCGTTGCAACGCACGGGCGTTCTTCTAGTGGTAGGTAGGAGTGTGCTTTTTGTTTGAATTATCTTTTTTCATGTGGCTTCAGTATGAAGCTGGAATATCATGTCCATACGTTATTAATCACGAAGTGTTATGTTCATGTGAATGCACAAAGCGCGAGAATGGTTTTCCAAAACATGATATTGCTTTAAGTCATGTATCGATTAGGAACCATCCTCCAAATGTTCAATATATTTTGGATTTAAGTTTTGAGACTATTTTCTTCGTGCAAAAGAAAGAAAGGCTCATAGGTGTCTAGGGTTTTCCTACCTTTCGGCGGTGCCGTCGTCGTCGCCGATTTTGTCTCATCTCCTATGGTCTTAGGGTTATGAGGCGTGGTGGATCCCGATCCTTACCGGTGGAGGTGGCCTTAAGAACACGGAGACACGGTGTATCTCGCCCCCTTGCTGGTGGGTGGGGTCCTGCTATGTTTTAGCTTTTTTTGGGTTGATTAGAGTTTGTGTCCTGCATAGAAAGACGAGGCCACGACGGGTCCATAAAGATGGAATAAGATCCACTCAAAGACCGCTATCCAGCATGCTCTCGAAGTACTAAGTTTACAATAAACCGACCATTACAATAAGCATAATAACATAATGTCGACAATATAACATCAATCAATATGATGAGAAATCGTTGTTTTATCCTTGGCGGACACAATACAATATGTGTCATATCCCTTACTGTCACTGGAATATAGAGCACCACAAGATTAGAACCCACTACAGTGCAAAACTCTCTTTGAAGAAAAACCCATCAAACTTGGCCAAAGTAGATAGATAGATCGGAGATCATACAAAGCTATTTAATTATACAACATGAAAACCTCGAAAGGTTCAATTGAATTTAATGAATAATCTAATCATAAAGTGACACTTCATCATGTCCCAACAAACACATCCACCAATTAAGCTTTGAGACTATTTTCTTCGTGAAAAAGAAAGAAAGGCTCATAGGTGTCTAGGGTTTACCTGCCTTTCGGCGGTGTCGTCGTCGTCGCCGATTTTGTCTCGTCTCCTATGGTCTTAGAGTTATGAGGCGCAGTGGATCCCGATCCTTACCGGTGGAGGGCTTTTGCTTTATTTTTAGATTTTCTTTTATAGTTTCTTTAGGGTTTGTGTTCTGTCTAGAAAGGCGAGGCGGTGACGGCTCTCTAAAGATGGAACAAGGTTCTCCTCGCCTAGCCCTCTTCTTGATGGCGCGTCTCGCGTTGTCGGATGGCGTGTGGGGTGTGTTTACGACAGATCTCACGAGATTCAGTCGATGTTTATCTTCGATAGATTTGTGTGGATCCGGCCTTCATTCGTCCGTTTCTTTGTGTCTTCAGATTGGATCCTTTTGATTTACGCTTCTCTTCATTAGGGGCGTTTGCAAGTTCTAGAGCGTTGGTCCTTTGGGGCTTAGCATAATGATTTCTCGACGGTTTACTACAACAAGGTTTGCCTCGGCTGCGGTGACGGAGGGGCGCGACGCGCCTTCGATTCGCTCTAGTGCTTATAGTTGTCGTTACGTGTGATGTCTGATGAATGCAGTATATAGGAAGTCTCTCCTGCAAAATTATTTGTAGACTAATTTGGATTAAGTTTTGATATGCATGAGTTGTTTTGTTGGGCCGAAACCCCCGAACGAACCTCCAGATTTCCCCGCCCCCCTCACGCCTCCGCCGCCGGGCGCCGGCGGCTGCCACAGGATGCCCGCACCCGATGGTTGCGACCGCCGCCACGGCGGCGTCCAAGGCCGCTCCTTCCTCCCCATCCACCTTCCCCCACACGCCCCAACCCCGGAGCCCGGCAGCCCCTCCTCCCCGCCCCGACCCATCCCGCCGCTCTCCTTCCGCCACCTCTCACCCTGCGCGCGCTGGTCCGCCTGGGTCATCGCGGCCCTCTCCGACCCCGGGTTCGCTCCCGTCCTCCGCTCCACCGCCATCTCCGACGCCGTCGCCGCCTCCACGGCCGCCGTCATCCCCGACCGCCACGCCCTGTCCGCGCTCCTCTCCTTCTGGCATCCGGACTCCCACACCTTCCGCCTCCCCGCCGGGCCCGCCACCTTCTCGCTCGAGGACGCGCTCCTCCTCGCCGGCCTGCCCCCCTCCGGCGCTCCCTTGGACCGGCCCCTCACTCCGACCGAGGAGGACCTCCGCATCCGCCTGGTGGTGGAGAAGGAGAAGATCAGGGAGCTCCACCCGTGCGCCCGCAAAGCCCGGCGGGTGTCAGCGGAGCTGTGGCTCGAGTGGTTCGACAGCAGAATCCGGCCCGGCGAGGACGACGAGCTGCGCCACCTCGGGTTCCTCGCCTACTGGCTCGCCTTCTTTGTTACCCCACGCCTACGGCGCAAGGGCTGGGAGCTACCAGAGTGTCTCTTTGCACTCGCCGCCCGGCTTTATCTTGGCGAGCGCATTGCCCTGGGGCCGGCTGTGGTGGCTAATCTCTATGCTGAGATGGACATGATTGTTACTTCCGGGGTGGCGGCCGTGGCGAGTGGCCGTGTCGACGTTTGGGCGCCGCTCTGGCTGCTGCAGGCGTGGATATGGGAGCGCTACGACCGCCTGCGGCCGCCGGAGCTGAGAGCACCAGAGTTCCCTGTCTCGAATGTCCGCGTACTCTTTTGGGCTCGGAGGAGGAGGAAGACCACAGATGAGGAGTCTTTACGGGTTTTGCAGGAAGAGGATTGCTTCGAGTGGAGGCCTTACCTGCACAACTCTCTCAACTGGACTGAACCCCAGTGGTTCAGCAAGGAAACCGTCTTGGTGAGCTCTAGAGGTAAGGATAAGCCCGAGTGGTTGGAGGATTACCTTGCAATTATAAGGCAAGCGGCGTTGACTGGATTGTGCGGTGATGGCATGTATAACTCGGCAATGTACAATCCCCACATTGTTGCAAGGCAGCTCGGTTATGATCAGGATGTTCCTTTTCCTATTGTCCATGGGTTCGACTCCAAGGGAATCGAGGTGTGGATACCTGGTATCTGTAGACGCGGGAAGGCCAGCAAGGAATATGTTGCATGGTTGAATGGGCACTTTGTGGGGCACCAGGATGCTGACCAATATGGTAGGTCGGAAATAGCATACCAGGAAAACAGTGATAACTCATCTCCACCGAATGAGCCTAACAGAAATGTTGTAGATACGGCAGGTGATAAATGTAGAGAAAGTACCATGCCAGATAGCAGAAAATGCACCATAGAAGATCTGCTAGCTCAGGAGAACGAAACGGAGGTGGTTGTCCTAGACCTTAGTTCAAGTGATACAGACTGCAGTGCAACTGCGGTGAAAGGAAAGATTGAGAAGAAGAAAAGGCTAGATAAACTCTCTGGAAATGGTGATAGGAATAAGAGAAACAAGGTGTTTGGTGGCCATGAAGGTCTCCAGGCATGTGATGACGGGCTTGAAGGCCGGAAGTACTGTGGTCTCCAAAAAGATCCAAATTCTGACATTAGTAAACGTGATACACAGCTTGAGAGTGATGATGAATGTGTTGTTCTTGAATCGCATGGTGAGAAATGTGAAGTAATAAACCTCGATGATGATCAGGAAGAGAGTATCCTTGATCCTGAAGATCATGATAGGCAACTTGTCCTGGAGCTAGAAGAGTTTGTGCGCTCTGGGCTTTTCTCACAATGGGAGGAAAGCTCTGATGAAGATGAAGAAGGTGGAAGAAAGCAAGAATCACTGAAGAATAGCAACAATGACCCTTATGCTGAAGCAGCCATGAGAGAGTACCCTGTGTTCTTTGAGCTCATTCCCCAGAGACCACATTACAGAGAGTTGGTGAACAACGATGACGCTCTACGAGATCTGGCCTGCAGTGGAATGTGGTTATTATTGGTTGGCTTGGCAAGGGAGGTGCTCAAGACATCATGTGACACTGAGGCTCTGGAAGTTGCATATTTGATGAAAAAAGCTCGGGAATTGGAACAAAACGGGTTCAATGTGAAGCACTTGATTGCCCGTCTGAAGGAGCCACAGACCCGACTTAGAAGGCTTCAGGATTCCAGGGCAAGGCTTGAGTATGCCCGGACTAAAGCACAAGAATCGGAAGGTGTTAAGTCACTTTCAAACCATTTAAGTAAGCTGAAACACAATATACTAACAATGGAGAGGCATTTGGATGGAAATAAGCAAGCTCGTAGTGCATCTGTGCACAATGAATTGGGTGAAGGAATCAATCTAGTCAGCTTGGAGAAGGAAGTAGAAGCTGCAGAAAAGTACTGTCAGGCAATGAAGGATGAAGTGGCTGCAATGAGACTGAGATACACAGATATTTAACATTTGGCCTGTAAATCATAGTCAATAGATTCACTATGCGTGCCTGGTAGTAGGCATGCAGAACTTGAGCAGATTTCAGGTTGCAGGGTTCAGGTTCCAGTTGAACTTTGAAAGATAGTGCATTGCAAGCACAAACCCTGTAACATGACTTGGCTGAAGCATGTTTCTTGTTTTGTGCTCCAAGCATTGTGTTAGTGGACCTTGAACTTTATTCCTGATGTGGAGCCTTTGTTCTGCATGGATCAAGTGGGCTTATCCATGGAATATATACATGTTACTTTTATAGAACACTCTTTCATAAGTTTCTAATCATGTGTCAAATGCTTAATCGTTCAGACCCCACCTGAGCTTGTGTCATGTAAGTAAGGAGAGTGGTTTAACACGTAATTATCAGATTGCCAGCAGGTAATTGCTAATAAGATTTACAGATTAAGGAAAAATTGGTAGAGAATAGAAAATCACATTCTTTATGTTAGGTGAGCATAACATTACAGTGAATGCTCTTCCATTTTGCAGTGGATTCATCGAACTGAAGATATAAAGCTTCATGCCCTACTTCAAGGATGCAAAGGCAAGTGTGTTACTTATACGAAAATATTTCCAGTTTCTTTGCTGCAAAAGTCTCTTCAAGAGGAATGAGTAAACAAGTCAAAAACACATATGTATAAGTCTAGCTATTTATGACTAGTTATAAATACATCAACCCAGGTATCCCAGTGTGGGGCTATAACTATACTGCAAGAGACCCAGGCTGGCCGCCCCAATGAGGCAGTAATGGATGGCGGCTGTTGGTAAGGCTGGGATTAATTTCCGTTGCCGATTTGGGGCATCTTTCGCAAAAAGGAGATTAAGTTTGAATAAATATCAAGAAAATACAGAAATTGAGTGTCATGTCCAGTTGAATCCCAGCAAAAAATGTTGGCATTGTATAGTGTTGCTTTGCTTGGGTGCTCCAAAAGAATTTTGAAAGAAAAATGTCTTGGAGAGAGGAGTCCCGAGTTTTAGGACTTCAAGTTAAACACAACTCTGGAGAGTAGATTGAATTAATCACATTTTCACTGCTACGAGACTAAATCAGTTGGGCTATATGTTTAGCTGTAACCCCTTCATGCAGGGTGACTGAATCATCAAATTGAGGGCAAGAAAGAATTATATAATGATTTGTCCTCTGTTTCTCCTGTACTGACGGGTAGACACTTCCCTCTGCGACCATGTTTTGCTGCCATAGGCAAACAAGAAACTGGAGGCCACCCTTGTGACTAAGGTGATATCTGGTACCGATCTCAGGGAAGCGCAATGACGAACTTTGCTACAGGATGGAAAAAAATAGTGGACTGCTACTGTTGTCTGGAAAACAGTTTATTGGAACTGTTGTATTCTAAAACAGTCTGTAAGCTCCTGACTATATTATAATTCAGCCAACGTCAAGCTGAGCAGGACTCTGACCGGCAGCCCTAACTTGCAACTTTTTGTGTTGATATATTGGTCCAGGAGAACCCGGAAGTTTTTTGTGTTTTTGCTAGCTAATTTTGATGCAGTCTCCTGTCAGGAGGACCTATTTGGGTTGGCCTCACAGTTCTAGCAACATTAGTTGTAACGGTTGATCTAACTTTGGCACGCAAACTATAATTCTGACTGAGCTGGATTTCACCACGGTCAAGTGGTGGCCTGAACTGTTTTCAGATTGCTCGCTTTCCGTTCTGCATAATGTCAGATTGTTGTGGCCATGATCAAGATTTGACCAAAATATCTGTCACATACCTCTCAGACCAATACATAGTTTATAATTCTCTAGCTTAATTTCAGACTGAAGGTGAGGGTGAGGAACAGTGCCCAAATTATGAGCAATCCACCCTTCTTTTTAATGACAGCAATATGTTATGAACCCTGATCATGCTTATATACGAATTTCTGTGTAAGGAGAGATTACTGGAGAATATAGTGTCAGCAATCAAACATTTTGGCTCCTTATCAGTTTAGTATGCTCTGTCTTTGATTACTTTATGTATCTCTTACGCAAGGAGTATCAACATATTATTGTGAGGTAATGATATGACTGAAGTGTAAGATTTTCAGATGTTTGCATCTTACTGAAGAATATGCTGGCTGCAATCAAAACATGTCCGGCAGAACTACAAACCATGAAAACTTTGGAATGCGAAGTAAATCAACCAGGGGACACTTTCGACCGAAGGATAGAGGAGTAGAAGCCAATTATGCTTTGAAGCTTGCGGACAACCCTCCAAAGAGATTAAAGTTGGATGAATACGAAGTAGCAATGCTGGGTAAAAGCGAGCCAGCCAACTGTGGTAATTAATGATGAGGACGCAAAGCAAGCTGGCATAATGACTACATCAACACCCCAGGAGAGTCTCGTGGTGCTGGTGAAGGAGCTGCAGAAACACAAAACCAGCTGGTCATCGGGCAATTTGAAATGATGGGTTCAGAATGAAGTAATTCTAGCCTTTACGAAAAAAGAATGAAGTAATTCTGCCAGCCCAAGTGACCGAAATGCTGAATCCAATGGGGTTGTCGAGTTAAGTATCTCAGGCCTGGTAAAAGAAAATGATTGCTGAAGGACCAACAATCTCTACCAAGCAAGCCTCTTTGAGGCATACCATGGATTCCAAGCAGATCAAGAGGCAACCAGTCTCTTGTCGGAGAGCAGATATAACAGGACAGAACACTGCAGATCAGAAACGAGCCAATAGGAGGTCTCTTTGTTTCCAAGAAACAAGCTTCAGTAACTAATGCACAGTATCATGTCACATCTATTGAACTACTTCTACAGGAAGTGACAAGTGATAAGTTCTGGCACAATCCAGGTTAATTCTCATACATTATCCATGTTTCTTTTGGATCTCTTCAGTTTAAGTAACCCCATAGCAGTGACACAATTGCTTAATCTGGAAAATTATATAATGTATGATGAGAAAACGAATTGTGTTTGATGTGCTTGCTTAATCTGAAAAATTATACAGCTCGCTGCTTTGTGTTCTGTATTCAAAGTTGTTATAGTTTGCTCACAGTAGAGTTTAATCTGTTTGGTCTTGATACTCTGGCACTTCCTTATTTGGTTAATGCATGTCTTGTACCTGATGATTGTGTCTTCACTATTTCATCATTGATGGAAAGACCACTGTTTGCACGTGTGCCCTTAATTTGGCAAAGCGCATTTTATGTTTCTCATCTAAGCAGAGGAGTCTGAACTTCAGTCTGTTCCTGGAAGCTTTGAATCCGTGAGTACATTAGAGTTTTTGAGCTTTTGCTTTTTGAGGAATGCAGAGCTCAGCTATACAGTTCCTATGAGGAGTCTCTTGAGGCTGTATCAAGGGATGCACATGTAATGGTGTGTGTTAGAACCGTTGATAGGCATGAAAGACGTACACTTTTTTATGGATGGCATGCTCTGTAGTAACCATAATAAAAATGACACGCTCTTGTTCCCTGATGCAATTGCCTGACCAAATTATGGTTGATGTGTTCAGGATGATATTGGTATGATGTTGTTCTACCAGCACATGGATATAACTAGATTTTTAAAGGATAGGTCGCAATTTTGTCATTCCCTCGGCCTGGTTCAGGTAGCTCTACTGTATTCCTCTTTTAGTTGTGTATTAAGTGTGCAGATTTTTTTACTCTCAGGAAAGTATTCTGAGACCAAAGTGGTCGGACCCTTTCCCGGACCCTGCACAAGCGGGAGCCACGTGCACCGAGCTGCCGCCTAGAGTATTCTGAGAGCTGCACTTATGTACCCATTTCTTTGCTTTTTAGCTGCACACTCAAGTAATACTAATAGGAAGGCTGTTAGTTCAAATGAAGATGCCAAGTCAGAGTGTGGATGGCTTGTTGGTAGAGTCCGTCGCAATATGCCTAATGCTACACGTGATCCCATTGGAGCAATTATCCGTTTTATGTTGGGAATTCATCCGATTCTAGCTGGTAATCTTTTTTTTTTTTGCGTAGTATTCTAGCTGGTAATCTGATGTTCGCGATATCATTGCTATTTGATTGTTTGCTGGCTTGCACTGATATAACCACGTATTGGATGTATTTGAACTAGTGTTTTTGAACTTGGTTTTATTGGAACCTTGCTGCTACTTATTTGCAAATGGATTTATTATTGTGTATTCTCATTCTATAAGATTATGTCACTCTGAAAGTTAATACTGTCACTGATGTTTGCTCATTAAGACTTCACTCTGCTGCTACCATGCTTGCATATAGTGTTAACAATAAATGAGATTTTCTGTATTTTTCGTATCAACGGTTACTTGTTGAAAACAACACAGTTTTTTCCAATCACAGTTAAATTGAACAGTTGGAAATGAATGTTTGCTCTGCAACTCATTGTAGCTTCCTAATTCGTACTTGATGCTGTCAAAGTGACAACTATAGCAGCCTATTTCCCTATCCGATGAATTTAAGCTACACCCGAAGTAAATATCTCTCATCCTAACAGGCTTTATTGTAAAGTTCACGGGTATCTGGATTCATCCTAACTACTCCCTCCGTCCCAAAATATAAGAACGTTTTTCATACTGCACTAGTATGAAAAACGTTCTTATATTTTGGGACAGAGGGAGTAGCTGTTAGGTTGATAGGTTCAACTCATATTCTATGCAAACTTTGCTTGATTTTAGGAAAACTATACTTGACCAATTATCTATTGTTTTATACATTTGTTAACTGAATCCTGTACTTTCAGTCGTCTTATTATTCTTTTTTGCATCGTATTTGCAGCGGCGAGACTGATGTCGTGGGGAAACTCCAACCGCAAAGCACCTGGTATCTAACTAGTCTTGGTTCTCTTGCACCAACAACACAAAGCGAGTATGCTGCGTTGGGTTTCATCATACATTCAATGGGCCTCAGCTATCAGAAATTCACTAGATCGGGATCGCGCCTTGGCACGAGGGTGCCGGTCCCAATGTTTTGATCAAACAGGTAAGCTAATTAAGCCAATGTTTTGATCAAACAGGTAAGCTAAGTCAATAGTA